CCCGCAGGGCAGCTCCGTGCTCTGGACGGCGCAGTCATCCCCGACCGCCCCGCTGCCGCCCGCTACGTTTAAACTCCTTGCGCAAGACGATCCCGCCGACATCCCGCCGCCCGCCTCACGGACAGCAGCGTGGTCTGGCCCGTGCTACCGCCACCCCAGCTGCAGGAAGGAGGAGCCACTTTGCAACCTCTCTGGGCTGTTGCAGCTGCTGAATCCTAGATAAACCCACCAAGAGCCCTTCTGCGCTAAAGGTCGGACAGGCAAGAGCCCTTCCAACGGCCGGCTGGGACCAGGGCTTGAGGGCCAGGAGTAAGCGCTGAGGGGTATGCGTACCCCACGGCCTCCCTAAGCCCATAGGCACGCGATGGGGCACGGGTGGGCGAGCCCTCTTGGTTCTTTAGCAGTTTTCAACTCTCAGGAAGTAAGGGGACGCTGCTTTCATCAGCTGTGAATCTGGGAAGCACCACAGGCTAGCACATAAAGACAAGAGTCTGCCTCCAGACCCTGATACTGCAAGTGACTCCATATGGACAAGTCCTTGCATCACACCAGGCCTTGCTTTATCTGCTTGCATAACCAGGTGTAATAATTCCTGTCTCCTGAGGGTGTTGCAAAGCTTAATTTGTTAATGTTTGCAAAGTGCTTGGCAATCAGAAAAGCAAAATATCATCATCGGACGCAACTCATTTTACCGGAGCGGCACTGAAAGAATCCAAGATGCAATCACTACCTTCCACTGCTTTTGTTTTGTTTCTGCTTTTAGGCAATTGTTCTGCACAGACTTAAGCTGACAGGCAGCTAAATATTTGGTCATCATCTGGTACACATCAGTAGATGCTTACTGAAACCCAGGGGCTCTGCTGACATATCAGCTAAAGATCAGACTGTCTATATTGTAGACGGAGCTCACTATTTTATGATGCTTTCAGCTATTTCAGTTGCTCTTAATGAATGTTACCCAGCAGCGCTTTCAAACTTCCTGACAAAATCATCACTTGTGAGCAGTGGAGTGTGATCAAAGCAAGGAGGGAAACGGAATACAAATCCAGGCCAGTGATTCAGTTTCTAACTGAAATAAACTGAAGAGCTTCTCAAACCAGGATTAAATTTAGCCTCTGTGAGTACATCTACCCAAGACATTTACTGGGGAGTAGACTTTTTAGCTCTGCAGTACACATCTCAGCGTCTACACGTTTGGCCTTATTAGGCTGCAGGAAACTAATAAGCTTCACAGCTGGTTAGTACTTGTAAATACAAGTACTATCCTGTTGTGGAGTTTTTTCATGTATAACAATGCATGTGCGGATGCTGACCCGGGTGGTCGGGGCATGAGGCTGCTTCAGTCCAGAGGCTGCCTGCCAGTTAGCCCTGTACTGGAGCACCCTTATGCCCCTGCCAGCCCTTCTGCAGCACATTGAGCTGGGTCAGAGCAGTGCCAGGCCATAAGCCCCTTGCCAGCTGGGACTGCTCCAGCTTGGCTCAATGTGCTGAGGTCCTGAGCACTTGTATAAACAGTCACTCAGGAGCAATAAAATCTGCCGGGATATTCATTAATATACATGTGTAGATGTGTCCAATACGTAGCAACTCCGGATAGATGGATGCATACAAAGATGGTAGCCCTCATCTTTCAAACACACCCAGGTTAGCTAGGCACTGGTGGCAGAGATTGTAGGTAAGCTAGTGATCAGCAGGGATCCTGGTTTTCTCTGATTTAAAAAAATTCCCAATTTTCGGTTAAAAAAAAAAGTAATCCCAAATCCACACTTTTCCATGATTTAAATGAAATGTCACTAATATATAGGTATGTATATAGTGGGGTTTCATTTTGATCATGGAAAAATGTGGATTTGTGGTAACTTTTTTTTAAACTGAAAATTGGGGATTTTTTTTAATCGGAGAAAACCAGGATCCCTGGTGATCAGTAGGTAAGGTGCTTGGCTGATTGCAGAGGGTAGTTAGCAAGAGAGGGTCCCATTGACACCCAGATAAAATAATCCCCATAAAAGAGAAAAACCTCCATGTCATTCACCAGACACTTCCTTTGTGGGGAAGACAGATGGGAGTAGGTATGGGGGGAAGTTTCTGTGGATCCCATCAGATCTGTATGGATCATGGGGAATCGGTATAAGACATGTTGCCCCCTGGATCCTGCCGGTCCCTGGAGAGCATTGTCGATGCACCAGCTGTGCTTCTAGAAGCAAGCTCAATCATGGCTGCCCCAGAGCCCTATTAAAGTGGTACCACATAATTGCTTTTCAGCCTTTTGGCTAAAATCAAGTGTGACAGGGGCACCTGAACTTCCAGTCCTAGGACTGCATGTAGGATGCCAGTCTGGATATAGGGAGCATCTGAACTCCGAGGCCTGCAGGCCTAGGACGTTAGATACTGGCCTGGTTGAAGTTATATTGGCAATGGATACCAGTAGGCACAGTTATTGAGCTTTTCTCAGTTGGATTTGGAATTTAATTGGCTATTGGAAATAAATAAATAAATATATATGGAAATATATGTATGTATACATAAGGTGGTGCCCCATAGCACAGAATGAGAAACAGTATAAGTAAATAGCCTAAGGTGAATTTCTGTCCTTGGCCCCAGCTCACTCTGCAGAGTCTCCCATGGAGCCAGAATTTAGGAGCAAAGAGTGCAGGGGCATGGTGCAAAGGTGAGCATCATCTCCCTCCACACCTGGCTCTGGAGGGATGCATGCAGTCTCAGGCAAAGACATATTTTGGGAGCAAATTGAGCTCCATTGCCACTCTCATTCAAACACACCTTGTTCAGCCTCCGTTATCTCTGAGGGGGCAACAAATTTAACTTCTCCAGGCCCTGTGACACCCACTGGAAAATCAAAGGCACTAACTGGCTCCAGCTGACTGAAGGGTTCCCCTGTACAGAGGCCATGTGTTTCATCATATACCAAGAGAGAACTGTGTCTGCTTGCATGCATGAGCTGTTGCATGTGAAAGGGGCCCCTTCTAGATCCGGTCCTATTTGAGCTGACAGTGGTCTTGGGTAATTTCACTGCTCAAAATCACGGTCTTGCTCTATTGCATTGATGTAACTGACTTGGATTTGTGTCTCATCTTAAAGGCTGAGTCTATTTTACTCCAGACTATGCCCAGGAATAGGGGGGGTGAGGAACAGATCAGCTCCCCCTTTACACAGATCACTTCTAATCTCCCTGCATGAAGGAAGTAAAAGGCATTTGAAACAGAAGAAAGGAAATTGTTTTTCATACTGTGCATACTTAAGTGTGGAACTCACTGCCACAAGGTACCTGGAGAACAAGAGAATTCACAGCGGAACATCCCCTGTTATATTAGATTAAAAAATTACAAGGGCTGTTACCTCTCAAGCATCAGAGATTGGGGCAAACTCTGGCTGATGAGAGTGAGGAAGAAAATGGTGCAGTTAGTTTGTAGTTTTCTACCCTGGGGTTTCTCCTTGAAGTATCTGCTGCTGGTCAGTGCCAGGAACAGAGGGAGGGGAGCCATCAGTGTGACTGCAGAAAAGCTCAGCTTGGCTTAGCAGAGAACTCTTCAGTGAGCTTAAACACAAAAAGGAAGCTTAAAAGAAGTGGAAGCTTGGACAGTTGACTAGGGAGGAATATATTCTTATACTGCTTGGGCATGCAGGGATGAAATCAGGAAGGCCAGAGCACAATTGAAAAATCTTGCCTGATTTTAGGCAGGGTAATGATTTGCTGGGCCTCAAGTTACCGCAGGGGAAAGGAAATTAGTAGCAACAATACCCTGTGGTTCCCTTTCATTCAGGGCTCTTGAAGGTGAGTAAAGTATCATCATCTCTCTTTAGACTAATGGGAAACCAAGGTGCAAAGCAGTGAAGTGACTTGTCTAAGGTCATATAAGTCAGTGGCAGAGCTTGCATTTGGCTTGGCTCTCCTGACTTCCAGTTTCTTATTATAAACGCTAGATGCTGCTGCCCGGACTTCTCTGTCCCAGCCCCCTGGGTTGTGAGAGAACTACGCCTCCACAGAGCAGCCCAGGCAAGGCTGACTTGCAGTTTCTTGTTCAGACTCAACCAGAAGATGCCTAGTCACTGCCCTTTTGATCAGGTGCTGCCTGGCTTTGCCTCAGTGGAGAGCCAGGTTCAGAGGTGACCTTGGGAATTCCTGCTTCTCCAGGCAGTGAGGCGCTGGAGCCTCATGAAGGTGACACTAGTGACTGTTTTTTTAGGGCAAGGTGCATTTCCCTGCGCTCATGGGCACCCTCTAGTGTCCATCGCAGCATTGCAGGCAGTTGCCTAGTAGGGGGACAGGGAAGGAGTCAAATGAGGGGTAGAGACGAGTCCTGGTGAGGAGCCAGGGGATACCCTGAAGAATTAGGGTCAGCTGTCAGCCCATGTCACGAAGCCAGGCTGATGGGAGTGGGGGGTTGTATGCAGAAAGAGATGCCCCATGTGTCCTGGTCTGCCTGGTGAGGGCAAAGGCAAAGCCCAGCCCATGCTAAGGATGCCAGAGCCTAGTCTCCTGACAACGCATGTGAGCTTGTTCCTGTTTGCTGAGGCCTTTGTATTTTGATGGGTGTCCTGAAAAGCAGGAGATGTTTTAACCTGGCCTGACAGAGCACAGAGCTGGGGTCATGTGGATCCCCTCAGTGCCAGGTGCTGCACATGGGGGAGTCCCTGGCCAGGTTTGGGGGTGAAGGAATGCAGGCAGAAGTGGACAGCAACCTGGAGAGTAAAGGCACAGCATGCCAGAGATCCCACTGGAAGCATTCACTGCCTTTCTAACTGGATGGTTCACCCAGATGGAGTAAGAAAGGCCACTGGTCCAGGATCTGAGAGACCTGGGTCCTTGCTGTGCCAGGGCTGCGGTGTGACTTCAGGCAAGTCACAGTCAGGGCTAATCACCATGGGTAATATTATCTTCCCTCAAAGGGCTATTGTGAAGCTAAAACCCATTTGGGATGATGTGGCCAGTGATAACTCCAGGGCTTTATCTGGACAGACACAGGAACATACCTGGGTGGGGGCTGCTAGCAGGGTGGGCTGGGCAAAACTACCTACAGGGAATGTTGCCTGATTGGCCCTTTGCTGCAGGAGAAGCTGTGAGTGATCTGAGATTCATGTGTTGATTTCTTTGGGATGGGGAGTGAGGCAAGTTGTCATCCCTCATTAGGAATTGTTGTAATGTGATGTGCCGGAGACATCACAAGAAACAGAAGGAAGTGTTTTCATGCAGATGAGTACAGCACACACCTGATATGGAAAAAGCACAGAATTTACCAACTTATTGCAGGGATGACAAGCTAGGCTAAGGACAGCCTTTGAAGTTCCTGACAGAGTCCCTGATGTGAAGGGAGCACCTAGAAAAGAGATTGCAAAACTGACAACAGGGTGGCTGAATTACATGGTGAACTGGTGAATGCTGAGTACCTCAACTCCCCTGGTTCCAGTTAGATCTGAGGGTGCTCCACACCAGACAGGATCAGGACCCCCATGCAGATGCCAAAAGACAATGCCCAGCTGCAGGCAGGAAGTTGTCGGGGTGTTTGTAATCCTTCCCACCAGACATGCATTTGGGATACGCACCAAGGAGACTGTGTTCCAGGCTGATGATGAAATAAAGCTGGTGAAGTGAGAGTTGAAGGATAAAGCTGTCGTCTATGGCCCTGATCCCGTGATGAGCCACCAGTCAGCTTGGCTGTAACAGGTAGGACCACTGTTTGTCTGCCTCCATGTGGTGTGCAGCACACCTCTGGCAGGAGTTGCTCAGCTCCTCCTCAGCATCAGACCCCAACATGACATGTACATGAACCTGCTAAACACCTAATATTTAAACTTGGCTGCTTCCAGTGATGTCTGGACCCAAAGGCCTGTGCTGCTAGGAGCACAGGCATACAGAGGTCATCAATCATTTAGAACAGCTGTTGCTTGTGCTTGTGACCTGGCTGCCTCCATAGGCTACCAGTTCCCCCCACTATAGACCACTGCTCCCTTCTGCTATGTGCCCCTGCCTCTGTCACACACCATACACTGCCAATTTGCAGCCCCAACAACAGCCTGCTGTGGGGGGGGAGGGATGGGAGGAGAGAGCATGGGAGAGGGGTGGCTCTGCAGAGAGATCAGCAGCACAGTGGTGGGCAGAGAAGGGAGATGTGCTGGACTGAGCCCTGTGCCCTGATCCTCTGTGCTGCCATGGCCACATCCAGTCATTTTGCAGCCCATAGCCAGCCTCTGGACCATAAGTTGCAAGGCCCTAGTTTATTGGGTCAGTAAAGCACCCCCAGAGTGGGCACAGCTTTTTGGCAGAGCTGCACATCATACCAGTATAGTGAAGCCATCCCCAAGCAAAATCAACTCTCCTGGCCTGAGTGGTGTAGTGGTGTAGGGCTTTCTCAAGGCATAGCTGTGTCTACCAGAGACCTCAGGGCAGACACCTGTAATTCACATTGTGCTGAATTTTTTCTTCAGGCCTGGATGTTGCTCCCCTGGTCAATGGAAGCTCCTGCTTTTGAAAGTTGGTGGAACCAGGACTGCATTTTTCAAGTCTGGGATTCTGGGCTTCCTCTGTCCAGCTAATGTTGGCTCTCAGGGCATCACCTAGAGGAGGAGGAATCTGAGACTCCATTGTCATGTTTTAATGTCTCCCCATATATTGCCAGTCCCTGAAGGTGGGAAAGAGGTCAAGGACAAGGATCGAAAATCAAGACTCCCGGTCCTTGTCCTTACCTTTCTTACCACTGACTCCTTCCTACCACTGACTCACTCAGCTGATTTCAAGCAAGTCACTTAATTCACCCCAGCCTCAGTTTCCGCATCCTAAAGAATTCCGGCTTTGGAAGGGGTGTTGAGATCCTCAGACAAAAGTCCCTGTACACAGGCATCATTTGGTTAATTATTAATAATTCAGTATTTAGCTTCAACTCTTAGGCTGACTGTGTGCTGTGACCACTGCCTGTTGTGCTAACCAGGAGGGTCTCTGTCTCCCTGTGCTCCCCTGTCTGTCTGTCTGTCCCTTGTCTACCTATTCGGTGTTACATTTAGATTAGAAGTTCCTTGAGCCAGGAGCCATCTCTGATCTGTGTTTGTACAGTGCTTGGCGCAGCAGGGTCCATGCCTGGTGCTACCATGAGAAGGAAAAGAATGATGATAAAATATGCCTGTTGTCATGTTTTAATGTCTCCCTATATATTTGCCCTTTCCTGACAGAGGACCCTAAATACTGAACACTTAAAAGCTTAAGAAACAAAATGTTTTGCACAGGATCAGTGTTTTTAAAGTAATTATTAGGGTTATTTACAGAAATGCTCCAAGGTTCATGTTCCACAGACCCAATCTGTTTGCTCTAGCAGGGGGGAAGGGAGGTGGAGGGCAGAGGGAGATTTACCTGAGTCTGGGCCAGAGGTGACACCTGTTTGTTAAGGAATTATCCTGCTGTTTGCTTGGCAGCTGTAGCTTTCCAGACCAGGAGCCATTGAAGGTACAGGCCCAGCCTGGAGCCTGCACTGGTCCAAGTGGAATCATTTCTAATCAGACCTCACTTTGCCAAATGCAGGCAGTTCGTCCCTGCATGGTTCACTCGGCTTTGGCGGTATGGCCCTTGAAGGTAACTTTGGCCTCTTAGCAGCATGAAAAGCTCAGTCCTGCAGGTGTAGGGCACGTTGTCCATTGGCCGGTGTCTCATATGCTCATTTGTACTAGGGCGAACATTGCTCCCAGTCTGATGTAGCTTTTCCTTGGTGTAGGTCTGTGCACACAGTACAAGGGTGCTGCTGCAGCCTCCGATTCACCCAGCGGGATGGGAGTTTGCCATTGACTTCAGTGAGTGGAGGGTTGGGACTTAGGACCTCTCACAGAACAGCATGTCCTGATGTCAGAAACCATGGCATGGTTGGCCTTTCCCTTCTCCCTGGCTGTCAGCCCCCATGGAGCCAATCTCCTTTTTGGATGGTTCTGTTATCTCAACCCTCCATACCTCTGGTGGGGGCTCTTGCTCACCCCATGAGGTCCCAGCGTCTCAGACCTCCTCTACTGAGCCACAGCCTACGACTCTGTTGACCTTCTCCTTCAATCACACCTTACTTGGTTTGACCAGTGTGGGGCACAAATTAAGATTGGATCTTCATTCAGGTTAGGTTAGTTCAGCTCTTCTGGAGGTACTTGTCCTCTAGAACAAGAACAGACACAGCACATTCATGTGGAATATCAGCGCTGCTTTAAATTCACATTCTGGCTCCATCTAGATTAACTTCCCTGCATAGAGAGGTGGGATGGGATGACTCAGTGATGGGATGGCTTGAGGAGGTGGGGGGCACACACAGGTCCCTCCTGGTCCCTTTGCTCCAGACTTGCCAGCTCCTGGCTCCCCCTTGCTCCTGGCTCCAGACCAGACCCCTGTCTTCTGACCTCTGGCTCTGGCTTTAGTTTGGCAAGTGCTCATGTCCCATTCTGTATAGCTACAGCAGTGACACCAGTCTGGAATTTGTCTGCTCCTGATTCCCTGGATTGTGACCCTCTGGAGTCAAACCTCGATTGCCCACATCCCAGTCATCTCCTGACACTGAGCTTGTCAACCTGTCACAGTCACTTCCATGCCTCCCCAAGCTAAGCCCCCATGTGTGTCCCAGCGTCCCTGAGCACGTCTATAAGGTCCTTGTCCAGTCCTTGTTTGACTTTCTCAAAGGCTCCTGCTCTGCAGTCTGAAGGGACCCTCATTGGTTTGTACACCAGCCCCTTTGCAGTGCCCTGTTGCCCACTGACGTTAACTGACTCTGGATCTGTCTCCCTGACCGACCTTGGACTGCAAGCTGCTCCAAGCATGGCCCACCCTTTCCTATCTGGAAAGCAGCTCATTGGCTGTGGATGTCACTGCGCACACAGTGTCACCATTAACAGTGCCAGAGGGTCCTGGGGAATGGAAGAACAGCCTCTCCCTCACAAGGAGGGGCATTGCTACACCACCCCAAGAGGCCTCCTTCATTGTAGAGGAGGATGAAACGGGGAAGATCTGAAATCAGACTGAACGGAAACAGCTGCATAACCTTGAGGGGCAGCATAGACCTGCACCCCAGGAACTCCCTATGTCCCCTCCCTTGCTGTAAGAGATTGCTGCACCCTGGAGTTACCTGAGATTTACTGACTGCAGGAGGTGGCTAAGGTGGGCCATAGCCTTCCTACTACTCCCCTTCTGGCTTGAAGAGCCTCTGGGTCTTCATTCCCTTTTTCTAGGGCCTGGTCCTGAGGCTGTGCGGAAAGTGGAAGGTTACCAGAGGTCTCAGCAGCGTCTCTCAGGCCCTTGCTCTTTCCTTATCATTCATATTCCCTCATGTCTTCCTCTGGGCTGGAGGGGCAAGCCAAATCCCCCCTTCCCCCTCTCCAAGACCAATTAGTGCTGCTCAGAAATGGGAAGTAGCAAAATGAGGCCCCGGCTCCCCAGGGTGGGCAGCAGGCAGTGCATGGTTTTGTCTCCTCAAAGTGCTGGAGCGGCACGTGCCTGGTGACTCCAGGGCAGAAGGATCTGCTGCTTGGATTTCATTCCAGCAGGTCTCGCAATCCTCAGTGTTACTTTAGATCAGGCCCAGGTCTCAAATGGTGTAACTGTTTGTGCTTGAAAACATAGCCTGAGCCTGGGAGGCAGCACACTAGTTCAGTTCCATACGCAGCAGGGTTGTTTTTGGGATCAGGGTCCCTGGGAGCTGATGCATTTCACTCCAAGGTCAGAACAGATAAACATCCTTTCCATGTGTGGCAGACAGCTTGCTGCTGGTGGATGGAGCAGGGGTCAGGGTGGGTCACCACGGGTGGGGTAGGACAGGGAGCCTCACCCCTTCTGCTCAGCCACATGCTGAGCCCCTCTGAACATCAGATGTTGTGTGTATGAGTGAGCAAAAGGGCCTGACCTGTAGAAGTCTTTCCTCTGACTTCAATGGATTTTGCATCATGTCTTTTAAGCTTGGAATAGCTCAAATGCACTACAGGGCAACGAAGCAGGCTAACCTCCAGGCTGACACATAGTTCGCTAAGTGTCATCCTGAGCTGGGTGACAACAACTGGGCCAGCCTGAGCTGGACTGTGGGCAAAGCCCTGACATCCTAGTAGAGCATTCTCGGTTTGGCAGTTGTTATCACCTTTTCTCGTGTGGGAGCAAATCTTCCACAAGACCTGCAGAAAAAGCACAGAGACCTGAACTGGCAGGTAGCCCACTGGGCACTCCACGTGTGGGCATGGAAAAACAGTGGTCGGAAACGATCCACCACTTCTTCTGGGACTGCCCATATGCCAGAGGTGTGGAAGAAAATCCATGTGCTCCTCCTGGTGGTGACAGGTTGCAGAGACCTGACTGGGGAAGCTGTTCTCTATAGGCATCTGACCAGACAGCACGGCAGCTTGCTTCGACCAATTCATATCCTTCTTCAGGTCTGCACTGTAGAAAGCCAGGAACCTGCTCATAAACAGACACTCAGACCCCACAGTCGAGAACTGTATTAAAATGGGACTAAGTTAAATGGACTGGTTCTACAGGAAGACAGAAGAGGACAATGGGAAAGATATGGCAGACCTCATCTGGTGGAGAGGGGTCTGGCATAGACTTTTTCAGGAGTAGACCCTCTGAGGAGGGCAGTGGGTGGGGGTACAGGTATGGAAATGGATGCATGGGTGCATGAATATGTGGTGCAAACTCTGTAATGGGTTTTTACTGTGCTGTGAACC